GATCATCTCAAACAAGCATCTCATAGTTATGCTAGACACAGTTAATCAAGAATATAATTTCAAGCATCCTCTTTTGGAGACTAAAGAACATCTTTTTGTACTAGCACTAAATGCATTACGTGGTAACTAGGGTCATCTCAGTATTATCAAAAAACGAAAAAGCCTGGCTGAGAAAGATTAGAGTTAGCGTGCACCAGACTGTAGTAGGTCTAGAAACCCAAAAACCTAAGCAATATTTCTGTGGAAAATGTGTTTAAAGGGACACTATATGCACTTCATTCATTTGAAGTGGTCTGGGTGCACTGGCCCCGTCCCCTTAGCCCTGCAGCTGCAAACATTTTAGTTTCAGAAAAAATGTTTACTTTACAGGGTTAAGAGAACCTTTAAGACAGGTTAAAACCAGCCTCTTTCTGGCCTTTCATGGAATTTGACTCTGTGAAACGATGCTGGATATCCTCACACTTTGCATGAGGACATCCAGTGTCTTCTAAAACCTTATAGGAAAGCATTGAGACAATTAATTATTATTATTCATTTATAATTTATATAGCACAAGGAAGTTTTGTAGTGCTGGTGTGAGCGTAGCACTCACCGCGCATGTGCATTAGGTCCTCCCCCCCATCGCTGATGTCGGCAGAGGAGGAGCCCGAGTCAGTGCAGAGGGATTTCGGTGCTGGAATCTGGTAAATTAAAAAAAAAGGTTATTTAACCCTTTATTTGCCACTGTGGGAAAGGCTGCAAGGGTGGGGGGCCAAGGGACTCTTTAGTGTTCGTAATACATCTTTGTATCCCTAAGGCTAAAGTTTTCCTTTTTTACATATGTGTCTTCATTTAGATCTTTCAGTTGGTTAGTGCAAAAAAAAAAAAATGTTTAAATACTCTCTGACCCTCTTCCTTCCTAGCATTTCATTTTAATCTGCACTTTCTGACATTTATGTTGTTATAAATTGGCAGATTTTCTATTTCAGGAAATAAAGGAGTCCGTTTTTAATGAATGTTTGAGTGTCGGTGTGAGGCATAGGATGAGGAAGTCGCTCTGGTAATTGCTCATGGCTGTTGAACTTCAAGTAATACTAAAGAAACAGACAGCATGAGTTAAATGAAGGATCATAAGTCAGGGCTTTAGAAAGCCATGTACCACTACGGCCAGCTTTGCAAGGAAAACACGTAATTGTGTATGAAAAGGAATTTCTTCCATTTCAGGGCCCTCTGATTGCCGACAATAAAAACACACATTGAAAAGCATTGATGTACATGGTCCAGAGCTACACCATTATAAGCAGTATGTAATGCTTTACCTGAATTAGATGTAGATTACTGGGCAAACCATTCGATTGTCCATATTAATGATGTATTTTCTTCCAATGGCCTCCTGCCTTTCGTTCAATAGAAAGATACATTTGATTTAAGTTTACTTGATGCCCCAACACATAGAAGCATAGAATGTGACGGCAGATACGAACCATTCGCCATCTAGTCTGCCCAATTTTCTAAATACTTTCATTAGTCCTTGGCCTAATTAGCTAGGATAGCCTTATGCCTATCCCACGCATGCTTAAACTCCTTTACTGTGTTAACCTCTACCACTTCATCTGGAAGGCTATTCCATGCATCCACTACCCTCTCAGTAAAGTAACACTGTGACAACAATTAGAGAACTGTTTGCTCTTTCCGATGAGGATCTGACCGTTTTGAAATTGGATATGACAAAATTCTATTTATTAGATCCTGGTCGGAAACAAAGCATATCCTTGTGTTATAATATTTTTGCAGGTGACGTGTGATAAAGCAAATTACATGTTGAGGTGGGAGAGTGAGCTGGGTGTGATATACACAGTAGAGGAGTGTAATTCATTTTTATTATCGTTAAAAGGTATCACTCAATATGCAAACCATTTGGAATACCATTACAAATTAATTAATAGATATTACCTAACCCCTTCCAAACTTTTGTAAAATGCACCTTAGCAAAAATAATAAATGTTGGAGAGACTGCGGTCAAATTGGTACATTACTCCACGTCTTCTATTCGTATCCCAAAATTTTTATTTATTGGCTGAAAATTATCAAATCAATTAAGCACATTTTAGAATTCAATGTAATATTATCCCTGTGTCTTTGACTCTTTTAGAAAATTCCATCTAACATGCCTAGATACAAAAAAATTATACAAGGCCATCTTCTCATATCAGCTAATTCCATTGTCTCTCCTCATTGGAAGTCACCCACTGTACCAATTGTGGGTGAGGTCTTCTCTTTCGTTTTTGAAAATAAAAGGTGTGAATTGGCTTTTCGTGATCCATCTACTTTCACATCTATATTGTAGCATGAATGGTCAATGTGGGAAGATGATGTGAAAGATAAATTTGGACTTTAAACATGTTCCCACCTGACTGAATACATATTCTGCTTCCTGATTTTTATTTAGTACCATGTTTTTATTAATTACTTGATACTTTATTTTATTTCTGTACATATTTTACTTATTTCATATATAAATATTTTTTAATATTTATGTGTATTTTATTTGATTGCTTGTTTAGTTTTGACAATGGTTCATAAGTCATAAGTCATGTATGATATATATTATTATTTTAAAACCTTAATAAAAATATTTGACGAGGAAAGCATTGACGTCTTCTCTCTGTGTAACTGCAACGTTGTCTATGAGATAAACACAAACACAAAAAAAAAAAATGCAAAAAAAATTAAATACAAAATATTGCGTTCTCCGGGACATTTCTTATTGCGAAAAATATGTAAACCGAAACACGGTTTCACATAGGAATGCAATGAAAACCAATTAATCCGTTCTGGAGGTCAGAAAAAAGTCAAAATGAGCTGGCATGGAAACCAACCCACAATGCAGAACACACAATAAAAGGCATGCAAATGACGAAGCTCGACTCACTACCTTTCCACAGCTTGAGAAATGCACCAAAAAGTCCCAAAACAACTGCAAACAATTTCCAGAATGGCTCCAAAACGCGATGCAAAAGCCGCTCCAACACCTCCACACTCGACGCCACGTGCTACACACAGGCTCCAACATGAAGGGGGCGATGCTATAAACCTCCTAGGTGCAATGCATCCTGGGGAAACTTGCTTTGTATTGCGAAAAAAAATTGTAAACCGAGGCATTATTTTCAATGGATTTTCATTTGTAAAACGAAAATTATATTAACCGAGGCGTTTGTAAACCGAGGTCCCACTGTATATATATCATGACACTGTGCTACATCTTTGAACAGTGCATCGATAAATCAAGATATATTGTATTGCATATTATATTGTATATTTTCTAGTTTTAAATATGTGATAAAATATGTAAAATTGTATTTTGTGTGTTTTCTGGACATATTTTAAAGCAAGGTAAAATACTTTCTAAATTAAAATTATAGCACTGCTGAATACTGTAGCTCACTTGCCCCTGTTATTTTGGCTTGGAATCTATTAATTGATGTTCTTGCTTTACTGCTGCTTGAAATGCAAGCAACGCATGCAGGCTTCTAGAAAAAGAGATCAATTTGTTAAGTGGTGACAGATTCCACTTAAACATGACTATGGAAGTACACATTGACTTTCAGCATGGTCACACCAGGTCAATGACCTGGTCTCTTATAGGGACATGATGGCAAGTTTGTCAGTTCAAAAACATTATTGTACATGCTCGATGCCTTTCTGGTGCAAATAAGATAGAAACGTGTGTGGGTTTGCCTCTGTGCATCGGATCTCACTGTTTCAGTGACATCACCCATCCCTTACTCCAAAAAAACAAAACAAAACGTTAGTGAAGAGCCAATTGACAACCTGTACAACTTGGGCAATCTGGTGCCTTTTTATTTTTTTACTAAATTAGTATCCGAAGTTTGTTTCAGTGGGTACTATTATTAAATTCTAAGAGTGAAGGAACTCATACAAGAACATTTAAAAGGACACTTCACTACCCAAATAGAAAATAAACGAAAAATCAATACAAAAATAAAGTATAAAAGTTACAACAGACAAGTGGAGCGCTGTAAACAATGAAGGGGTTTACTCACCCCCTTTAAGTGCAGTGACAATCTTGAGAAACTTACATAGACATAAATCAATGTTTAGTAGATTTACCCTATATGAAAACTTACATGCATTTTATTATGCATTTGTTTATTTGAGATATATCTAAAACCAGCTTTCAAGAGCTGCAGTTCTCTTGTCTGCAACCTTTGCAAGCCCTACCCTTTTAACCCCGCCCAGACTGTCTGTGGATCTTTAATAACAGACTTCCCAAAGCAGTTCAATGAGAAGTCTTTGCAAGCCTCTGATAAATTGCTGCCTTTTGAGTTTAGCTTCATTGAGCTAACCAAACCAGGAAGTAATACGACCTCTAGTCTGCTTGAAAAATACAGGGGGTGTAGCCCAGTTAATTTATAAAAGTTTTAGTTTCTATTGAAATCTACACTTTTTGCTAAATTAAAATAATAGGACACACTCGTCATACATAAAGCTCTTTAGCAAGATAAGGTGCTTTAGATGTCTGGAGTATCCCTTTAATTAACATATTTGAGGAACCCTTGTGTAGTATTGGAGAAAGACCATATTGTAGTTGGTTTCCAGGAATCTAATCGTGGACTTTGGTCAGATGTGGCAAAAAGTGCATGGGGGGGAAAAAAGGTTTAAAAAGTGGAAGAGAAGACTTGCAAGTTGCTGTAGCTCAAAGATGGTCATAGATGTGGGTGCATATCATTATAGGAAGTCAATCAATGGCAAATGCTAAAACAGCACTTTGATATGTTAAAGTGGGCCAAGATGGGGGGAGCGGAGCCTACCCTTCAATGGAGTAAGACGTGTGCTCCCTCAGCTCTCTCCCCCCTGGGCACAAAATCCGCATCCATCAGCCTCTACAAAGGTGCCTCACGACTGCAAAACTACCTAAAAACCTACATAAACAGCAAACACACCCAACAAATGGGGGTCTCGGAAAAAAAAAGAAGGATTCCACCCAGTCAGTAGCCACGATGTTCCGCACCAAGGATGACAGGCAGACATCTTGGGCCCAAAACCAGGGTAATTTAGGCTCAGACTCCGAAGAGAGTGAGCACGAGAGCACCCACACAACCCCCCTCACTAAAGAGGACCTAAGGAAAATGCTGAAAGAAACCTCTGCAGACATAAAGGACTATACCACAGCAGCCCTTGAAAAGCAAATAGCAGGCCTCAAAGGAGACATCGAAGCATTGGCCTCACGCACCGGAGAAGCGGAATGCACACTAAAAGACACACAAACACAAGTGACAAGTCACGGCAGAGAAATGGGGATGCTAAAAGACAGAATTCTATTCCTGGAAGACGGCCTGGAAGATTTAAACAACAGATCCCGAAGACAAAATATACTCATAGGAGGCCTAGCGGAATCAGTCTTACCGGAGGCTATACTCCCCACTATTAAAGCGGTGTTCCACTCCCTGCTACTGGACACCTCAGAGCAAGAAATTTATATCGAACAAGCTCACAGAGCACTGAGACCCCCGTCCCCCAACTCAAACACACCAAGGGACGTCATCGTTAAGATCTTACACTTCCCGGTGAAAGAACAGCTCATGAAAGTGGGACGAGATCACCCCCCGGTATACCAGGGACAACAGCTGCAATTTTACCAGGACCTGGCCCCATCAACGCTACGAAAGCGCCGGGATCTCAAACCCCTCACCACAGCCCTGCTGGAAACTGGCTTGCGGTACACGTGGGGATCAAACCTACTCCCTCCACCAAGTGGGGATCAAACCTACTCCCTCCACCAAGTCTCAGACATGCAGGACTTCGCCACACACCTGGGGATACAACTACGATACCCTGCGGTGGACTCTCACCTCACCTTGAATGACAACACAAGCCGAAGGAGTGATTCCCGCGCAAACATGGCGCGCCCGCAACCCAAGAGAAGGCCACTGAACGCTTCGCAAGAGCACACACAGAGGGACACTTGATTGGCAGCGCAAGGCAAACAAGGGACTCTATAACAAACCCTACCTGAGTTTTGGTTCCCATACTACGAATCGGGTATATGGACTCTACAAAACCGGTAGTATATATGATGTTATACCACAAGAATGTTCATTTTGGTTGATATTTGATGCAGTTCAATCAGTTAAAAAAGTTACATACACAGGGCACACACGAGGCTCGGGGGGGTCAGGGTGGGGGAACAAAGTAACCGCAAAACGTGGACCATCGGGCCCACCTAAACTTCCGACAGAAGTTGGGACCCCCACACAGCGAACAAAGCACGCACATACACACTAAATAATCAGCAGAAAGCACGAAGCCCTAGTACAAAGATATGGGGAAATGCCCTAGGTACGCCTGGCACACGATATCAATGTATGGACTTAATGCCCAGCCAAGACCAGGTATTCTCAGGAAGACTAGGCTAGGAAGGTGACACCCTCGCGAAACCACCGAAGCTCAAGGGGCCCCACACCCAAAAGGCACGGGGAGCATAGGCCCCGACAACACTACACATAAGGCAAGCAACCCCACACTACACCAACCCGAGCCCAGGGCACTAAATTGTGCACCAAAAAGCAAACACGAAACCAATGGGCCACATAAAACCTTATCAACTCGCTGTGGACCCGGGCAACAGCCAAAACTAAGAACACAACACTTAAAAACCACACTCGAGAAGATGAGGACCCTGCAACTGGGGGATGAGGGGACCAGAGCACAATACCAGCGTCCACAGCGCACGGCACCCCCATGCATTACAACCTGAGCTTCGGGACCCCCACTGGGAATTAGATACACACACACTGGGAACCTGAAATAAATCAGATGTTGTAAGGTTTTGACACAAAGTCGCTTATCTCTGTTAGAGTTATGTTTCAAATGGTTTAGCTATGTTACAAAGTATACCCGAGTTCCAGGGACCCCACACCCTAAAAGATTACGGGGGACAGATACTGTTGCCACCAAGCATAGACCGGAATTCTAGCCGAGACCACCACACTGACCAACCCTACTAAACCCCACCATATGTGTAACTAAACCTATTTTTCAGCCAAAAAGACGGATAGCAGACAGAATGGAGCCAACACAACCCAACGGATGAAAACATCAAATGACTCCAGACAGCCAGAAGACAGAACGCCAGTATATACACTGAAACATAACGATCATCAGACAAACACAGGTTAGGAAACAACACTCATCATTCGTGTCCACGGACACATCACAACGCTCAAACACCACACTGGAGCAGCACCACTAACCACGCGACAGCAAACACTAGAGGAATAGAGACTACCAACGAATATCACCACGAACACAACCCATAAATAGACATAGCAACACAACAAAGACCCCACACCGAGCAACCCAATGACACACAAACACAAGCAATGCCTCCATGCCCTGACCAAACATACAAACGCCTAGAAACACCCTAGCACCAACACAAAGCACAAATATACGAACCACCCCACCTGAGCAGCACCCATAGAGACGACACCACACACCCGGGGATGAGGAGAGAGAGACACATAGTCAAACTACTTTCCTCCCCACAAAACTCCAACGACTGAACTTAACTACTCACACTTGAAATACAGTAAAAAACACAGACAACAACACTCCCACACACGAACAACCACAAAGCTTACAAACGCAAATCACACCGCCCACTCACAACTAACCAGTAAGACCAGGCTCCTCTTGACACCCCCAAACACTAGTCCCACTGGGACATCTCCCCCCATACCACACGCACACCCCCTCACAACAACACTTCTCGACCAAAGCCCAACCCTATCCCCCCCACCCACAACTCCCCCAAACCACCACACACCAACACAACCCTACACGACAAAACAACTTAAACGCACGAGACAACACAACCCCAACCAGCATGCCAGCCACTCTGACCTGCCTATCAATCAACTGCAAAGGACTGAATAACCCCACCAAGAGGCACCAACTCATGAGATGGGCAAACAGAACTAAAGCAGACGTACTCCTCCTGCAGGAAACACATTTCACCCAATCCAAACAATTCCCTCTCCTGAGCCGACACTACAGAACTAACCACTTCGCCAGCTCCCCCCAAGAAAAACATAACGGGGTAGCCATCATAATACGGAAATCATGCCCCCTTTCGATACAAAGGACGGTAGCTGACCCACAGGGCCGCTACCTCACAGTAGCAGGCGAGATAGGCACACACTCCTATGCCTTTACTATGCTATATGCGCCAAATACCCCATCTAGCACGTTATGGCAAACAGTACAGGCACACTTAGCCCTCTTCCCCTCCCACCACTCTATAATCGGAGGCGATTTCAATGCGACCCCATCACCAACGGTAGACAGACGACGAACACAATCACACCGAAATAGCGGACAACCAACGGCAAAAACGGATAAACTACTCTCAGCATTTATCTCACGCACACGTCTGCTAGACGTATGGAGCGCACAGCATCCTACAGCCCTAGACTACACCTTCTTCTCACACCCGCACCAATCACACTCCCGTATAGACCTTTTTCTCATATCACCAACACTGGCGCCCATGGCCAAAACCACCTCCATTGGCCCCATCACATGGTCTGACCATGCTGAAATAACACTAATGCTCAACCTGCCCGGAATGGCCAGACCCTGGACGTGGCGCCTAAACCCACACCTCCTACACAACCCTGCTATCAGACAAACAATCGAAAAAGCCATAATAGAATACTTCCAAATTAACAAAGATACGGCAACCTCAGAAGGGACCCTGTGGGTAGCACACAAGGCTGTAATTAGGGGAGTTTTTATAAATCAGGCAACGATACATAAAAAGAAAAAGGTGGCCCTCCTGGAGAAAACATTACAAACCCTGAGTACCCTAGAGGCCAAACATAAAACAGACCCATCACAGGACCTTACCGAACAAATAAAAAAATGCCAAACGGTCATTAAAGAATACATGGCGAAAGACGCGACCAAAGCACTACTTTGGACAAAACAACTATATTACGACAAAGCTAACAAAGCCGACACGTTACTCGCTCGCAATTTCAAACAACGACACAAAAATAAACAGATACACAAAATAACTACCCCAGGAGGGGAAATCACAGAGGACCCAGATAGAATCGCAAAAGTCTTTCAAAATTATTTTGGAACCCTACATGACCACTCCCCAGAAACGCGACAATATCCAGCATTGGCCAAAACACTAATAGACCAATACCTAACCCAGGTACCACTACCCTCCCTACCTACAGACGCAGCACAGGTTTTAGCTAGTCCCATTACACCAGAAGAACTCGCAGGGAAGATAAAAGCTCTAAAACCCAACAAAAGCCTGGGTCCAGACGGGTTCACAGGGCTATACTACAAGACATACGCCCCCATCTTAATCCCACACCTCTGCACACTGTACAACACCATACTACAGGGGGACCCACTACCGAGAGAAATGCTCCAAGCCAATGTATGCCTCCTCCCCAGGCCCAACAAGACAAATCTCGAACCAGGTCATTACCGACCAATCTCACTCCTAAATGTGGACATCAAACTACTCACCAAAATCCTAGTGGACCACCTAAGCCCCAACCTCCCCAAAATAATACACCCAAATCAAGTTGGATTCATACCGACACGGCAGGCTAGCGACAACACGAGACGGACATACAACCTCATATGGACAGCACACACGAGACACATCCCAGCCCTCTTTTTATCACTGGACGGCACAGCTATGGCACCAAATAGCAAATATGGTCTCACAGACCTTACATACAGACATACCACTCGACCCATGGATCTGGCTCTTGTGCAAGGGCCCAAAACAAACTAATTGCCAAAATTGCTCTAGCCACGAGAAGAGCAATTGCGGAAAAATGGGGAAGCCCCGACACACCAACAACAGACATAGTCAAAAGAAAAATTAAAGATACAATTAAAATGGACGAAATGTCCGCGATAATCCACGACACGACCAAAAACTTCAATAAAATCTGGTATCCTTGGCTCTACGAATTCCCAAATCTACCCTAGCCACCACAGGAACAACCTCGCAGGACGGCACAACATACACACACCCACAAACACCTCACGGACCTGACGCCCTCAACCAGCACCCATCCCCGAGGTCCGCCGGGCCCCCCCAAGCCCACCCCACCAGACATACATAATACACCACTGTCACGGTTCTCACCTGATAGACAGACGGCAAGACGTGGTCGCTCTTGGAGTTCCCAACAGGGGACTTGAACCGGGGATCTTCTCAGTCCTGGTCCTGCTTTCTACCTCTGAGCCACAGCAGCTATTTACAGTGAAGACTGATTCCAGTCCTGTTCATCCTGACATGGCTACTACTCTGGGGGCTGCACCTTGACTTGGCTGTGTTTCACCTGACTCTGATCAGTCATCAGCAGGGTATATAAACCCAGCCTCGCCCTGTGCTCAGTGTCAAGTCTTTGATCCTGTTTGTTCCAGTGTTCCTGTTTCATCGCTTCGCATTATTGACCCCGGCTTCCTGACTCGTTTATTCTGACTTCTGGCATCCCTTGACTTCGGCTACTCCTCGTTGTTCCTGTCCTCTGGCATCCTTTGACCTCGGCTATCCCTCGACCATCCTGCTGGTTCAGTCCTTGCCTGTCCTGCGTATTGGTACTGCATCCTGCACAGCCCCCGTGCACAGACCCACAGGCCAGGTGAATTCTTACCTGACCACCTCGGCCTGTGGCTATCTGCAAGGGTGAGCATCATATCTGCGCTACAGACTCCCAACTCAGGTAAGACCCTGACAACCACAACCCTCAATCTCAGAACACACAACAACAAAAACTGCACAGCAAGGACCACCTCATAGCACACCCCTCAAAGAACAACTGGAACCACCAGGTCCCATAGCACACAAACCACCCCTAGGAGAGGACCCAACCAACCACAAATACAACATTTAAACACACTGACCTAGGACACTCCACCACAACACACACCAGGTCGAGACCTACATACAAGACAACACCCATACGCAAGCCAGGAAAGCACTACAGACGACCACACAAGAACCGACCAAAAACCACACAGGTTCACAAGCCATGAAATGACCAATAAACAGCACGCACACCCCCCCTATCCCACCCCCACCCGAAGACCCCAAAGAGAAGTGCTGCAACCCAACAACAGAACCAGCCAACCCAGTAAATCCGTACAACCAAACAGTACACAACAAACCTGACCTAAAGACCGGCAAGATGATACAACAGTTGTACAACCACAAAAGATCAACCCGCTAGGGCACCCTTACCCTCTCCCTCTTTATTTCTGTATGCCACCCCAATCAGTAGACTAAGGAACAACCTAACAGAATAAAAAAAGGACACAATTGGAAAACAAATGAATAACATAAATACCAAGATTGAATGACAAAATCCGATGCATCAAAGAACAGTTTGACATAAAAGACGAAAGCAAATGATGTAATAACTGAACCGTAATTGTCTACCCTTTATTTTCTGTACTCCTACCCTAAAATCAAAACCTTTATAAATAAAGAATTTATAAAAAAAAAAAGTGGGCCAAGATGGGGAAGCAGTAGATGCATTAGTGCCTCCTCCCTGCAGAATAAAAGACAGCATAACCAGGGGAATCTGAATTGTAGATATGCTGTGAGGAGGTTGCAAAGGGAAATATCAATGGTAGAGTGATATACAAACAGCAGTCACAGGAAATGTGCCTCCCCTCTTCCATCTCCTTCCCAAATTCTGGTACCTCTGTTCTGTCTTACTCATAATCTCACCCCTGGTCAGACCCACAAGGCAAGTACACCATCAAACTCAGGATTGCAAGCAGGCTGGGTATAGTATTATGTTTTTTGCTCTGTTACTTTCATCCTAAAAACACAACAAATTCACCAATATTTTTTGTGTTTACCTTGCTATGTTTGGCAATGTCTACTACTATTGCAACCATAATGGCTAGAAGACCACAAATATGAATATAAATATATTCTGAGGTCTAAGAAACGTTTTTTAAAAGTTAAATGATGGTTGACATTGAGGTGTTTTAGTGATACTAATCTGTGCACAACAATATGAAACGTTCTTTTCCACCATCTCTGAGCATCTCACAAAATAAAGAAAAGCTCTAAAATATGATTCAAGCGTGAAACAGCCAGATAAAGTATGACCACTTGGTTATGAATGGACTTTGGCCATTGATGTCAAGAATCATTGTTGAATGCTTCTCATGTAAAAAATTCAAGAACTTCAAGAACATAAATCCTACTTATCAGAAATCTCTACCTCAAAAAGTAGTCATCGTGGACAATGACACCAGTTGCAATCTCTTGGTGTCATTGGTTGGTGACAAATGTTTACGTTCCCTCACCCTATGACCCCTTTGAAGGATCAACATAATCTATAGTTCTCAATTTACCACCTTCAGCGAAAATAATACAATCTTTCTACATGAGGTATTCGGTTTTTGGGTTGGTTTGTATATTGACACAATCTATTTTTACTCAGAAAACTATCCCACTCCTCTGAACATGCTTTCTGGTTGGTAGTTAAAGTGACACTGTAGGTATTGTAACTGCTTCATCTCTTTGAAGTAGCTATAGTGTCTAGAGTCCACTGGCATGGTCTTTCCATTCAGCCTTAAATCAGTTTTCATTTTTTAGCTTGCAGCCTATCATCTTGAGGAGCACTATAGTGTCAGGATTACAAACATGTATTCCTGATACAATAGTCCTGATGTGGCTGTTTAGGTGTACAACCCCCATCCAATCTCAGTAAAAAGTCTGCCTGTGCCTAGCGCCACTTACATTGCTTAGAATGATAATCAATCTTGATCATTTCTGCCAATCAAATGCTTTCCCATAAAAAGCATTGGAAGGTTATTGCACATGAGCAGGAAAACTCCATGCTGCGTCTATCAGCATCTCCTCAGAGGTGCACTGAATCAATGTATCTCTATGGGGAACAATCAGTGCCACCATCCAGAACGTGGGACTGTCTGAGTAACTGCCAGTAGAGGTGTTCCTAGCCAGTAATGCAAACACTGTGCACTTTAATACTTACTCATATTATTGTGATTTTTAAACATACTGTATTTACCGCTAATTTATTCACTGGTTTTGGTTGTTATTAACCCAAATACTGTGGCTTAGATTTATACTGAATTTTATTCACTTACAGATAAAATAATAACACTGCAATGTTTCAGCCAAATTGAGATTTCAATACTCATATTCTATATTGTAGATCTATTTACTAGTATTTTTTTTTTGTATACCCACATTTTAGAATATACTTTGCTCTGCCTTTTTTTGTTTTAGATTTGTGTGTGTTTGAAGTGTGAGGAAAGGGGATCTCACACTGGTTTTAGAGCATTCTTTAAGGTTATATGTACTGAGATATATTCAATTATTCGTGACCAATGTAAATACTGCTTTTTCTCTGAAAAGGCAGTGTTTACATTAAAACGTCTGCAGGGACAGGCTATAGACACCAGAACAAGTACATTAAGCTGTAATGGTTCTGGTGACTATAGTGTCTCTTTGAAGATTAGACTAGATTCCCAATTAAATATTAGAGAATATATTTTCAAATAAATAGAAAAATTCGTATATATTATTCCATTTATAACTAGAAACAACGTTTCAATTTCCCATAGATAAGAAAGTGTAGTGTTGAAATTATACTTGTATAAATTTACTGGTTTATGTCAAGTCAGAAATTAAATCACTATCTGGATTTGTGTTAATGGGATCCATGTTGTTATGATAAGATTTGGGTACTGGGTGTGAACTAAACAGGATATAATGTTTTTTCTCAACCATTTATAGATATACATTTTTCAACAGTCATATACATTGCTAGATCCCTTGTGGATGAATTGTATATTAATCCTTGTCAGGTCTGCAAAGTATTTGTTTTATTTGCCCTTCTTGGGGTGGGTTTCCTGTCCCATAGCTCTGTAGAAAGAGTTTGCTTATAACAGACCAAAGTCATAAGGCACATTTGGTTTTGTTCACGTTGACCTCGTCATGAACTTCTGGAGGGATTTTAATTAGGAAGAGAAGCACTTTACACAACCACTAATGAGAGCAAGACTTCAGTTACATCCTACACAGGCACAATAAAAAACAGTTAGCACTTTAAGCACTTAACTGTATCCACAAATATGAGTTATTACTAATCAAAATTAAAGTGTAGATTACAAATATTCTTTGATTGTTCCTGCTCC